CATACAATACTTTCTCGAATTTTAAACACATACTAAGCATACTACATAAAACTTGTTTGCCAAAATTCCTAAGGAACATGTACCACAATTTTAAGCAAATCAAACTACATGATCAACAAAAATAGAATTCTAGCAATAGAACATTAAAACTTACAGGATTTATCATACGAGTGACCACAAACCTTTGGTCGATGGTTAGAGGTTACCATTTGGTTTACATTACTTTTACATATTTGGTCGTATCCAATAAAAAAATGAAAACGTTTGGTTCTAAGGTTATGGGTAGATTTCAAGCTTGAGTAATCATGAACGATTTTGTTGACTTAACAAACAACAATTTCTTATCTTAGTACACACAAGCATCCAAAGATAATCCCAAAAAAAGGAAGTAGAAGAGGATAACTAGTATTGGCATTCTTATTTAGCCCATATTCAGACACTTGGACAAGTAGGTAATCTTAAGCAAATGTGTATTGATTTCAATAAGTCCTCACTTATATTTATTCTCTTTATATGTATACAAAAGAGAACGTTTTAAGCAGGCATCCATTCATTATTGTCCATTTTCAAGTCTAAATCTCTTAGCCAAACTACAAACAGAGGAAAAGTTGCAGAAAAATATTAAATATGAAGGTCATATATGTTATGTTTCACAAGAGGAAATATACAATAGTGTAAATGAGCCTTCTCAAAATAAAAAACAAATAACTAGAGACTTAATTTACAATCTGCCAAATCAATTTAATTCACGCTTTGATGTTTCAATAAAAGGGTATCTCCCTATAATCACAGCCTAAAAGTTCTCAACCAAAACTAAGAGAAAAACATATTAACAAGAAGACATTTTACTCTATAAGGCTAATCGCTGATCAAGACAAGTTCGATCCTGCGTGAGCCAAGTTTATACTAAAATACGATAGAAAAATGAAGACATACTTTACAGTTAATTAACACCAAACTATGAATATATTCCTTAACATGGATATATTCGATTTTTATTTTTAGAACATGATGTATGCGACAATGCTTAGAATAACACAGATTCATAACATATTCCAATCGATCAACTGTCTTGCACTTAGAATTTTGAACACAACTTCATAACATATTCCGGATGATCCCTCGTGAGAACCAAATATGTTCCCTTTTATAGCCCAAATTTGGCTCCAAGAAATCAAAATTTGAATTCTTGAAAACGCTAATCTCAGAGGAAACAGGAAAGAAATGATAAAGGGAACGACTAAATCTCTCAAGAATCGACCTTTTCAGGTCGATTTGAGAGGATGAGTGATTGATGAGGCCTTTTTCGGCGGCCCTGAGTCGTTTCTATGATGGACGCGATGGGAGAACACGTGCTGTTGTACCGTCGGTGCCGCTTGCTGCAACTTTTCCGGTTTGCCGGATTGATGCGAGTGGTCGCTGTTCTTCCCAAGGAAGAAGACGCAATAAGGGGGATGTGAGGGGGCAGACACATTTTCTGAAAAAGGTGAAGAGTATTGAGGCGTCTTTTCAGGAAAAGAAGATGAACGATCGTGACTTGTGGAAAAGAAGAGTATAGGGCGGCGGTAGAGTCTATTTTGGGAAAAGAAAAGTATTGATTTAATTTGGTTGTCCGATTGTTTGATCGAACGGTTAATAAAAAGAGTTTTTTTTTAAAAATAATTTATATATATATATATATATATATATATATATATATATATATATATATATATATATAGTAAAAAGATGAATTAATTAAGGTCGTTAGATTAGATCGTAGGGTCAAGATTTAAGCTGAAAAAGCACAATCCATGTGCTTCCTACGTGGCCCCACGCACATGGATTGGCTGAATTAAAAAGACTTTGAATTGCCAAGTTTTGCTCAAATTAAATCTATTAAAATTATAATCTCTTTTTTATTAAATATCCATACTTTATTTAAAAATAATTATTTTGCAAGACTAGCTTATTTTATAAAATTAGTCATTCTAAAAATAAAATTAATATAAATTAGTAACTCATTAATTAATTAAGCTTTCCTAATTTTAAAAAATGTTGAAAAATGTATATTGTAACGATAGAAATTGTAAAAAAATTGAGTTAACCCTTAAGAACAGTATTTATTTGACGTAAAATAAAAAAATGAGAAAGTAAGTAGTAATATTTATATAATACATTTAATTTTTTTGAAAAATAATATTTATGAATTAAATTTATCAAATTAAATAAATAATTAAAATCTTTTTGAATTCCTACAAAAAATTCGTAACATATATATATTTATTATTATTATTTTTATTAAAACTTTAGTTAAATAAATGTGGAGAGCCAAAATTGGATGTCAACAACTTGCCCCTTTCTTTGTCCATGAAGGAGAGTAGAGAATACGTGGACAAATACACATTGACACGATCCAATTTAGGCAACCACCAAAATATACTTTGAGAAAAAACTTGACAAGAAATGTTTATGGAGTAATGGATGAACTCTGGCTTCTGAGCTACCTACATATCTCAGGTTTCATGAGAAATCAGTCCATATGTAGTTCGAGAGTGTAAGACCATAGCAAATTTTGATTAAAATTTTCCCAGTATGGAATTATGGTAATACTAAAATCTTTTGATGGTGAGGTATGAAGATATTAGCAAGAATAGAGGGATGCGACACAGTCCTTAAAAAACTTGAATGAAAAATGCTTTGTAGCAATTTCTACTGAAGACTTATGGTAGATAGATAAATTTTCAAAAGGATGCCCCAGTGTCAAGTTATAATGAACTGAGACATAAAAGAGTTATAAGGAAGATTTAAATTTGAACTCCTGAAAATCGAGTCGAGTTGAGTTTCGAAAGTGAATCCTTGACGTAGTTAGTGATGCTTGACATCGCACTAACTTGCCCTAGTTTGCTTCTTAGAGGGAGTTCCTCGTTGTAATGCGTTGTCTTGCAAAACATGTAAAAGGGTGAAAAGTACCTGTTGCGGTTCAAAACTTATAAATTGAAATAGTAATGTAAAGAGTAGAGTGTAGATGTTCAAACGATTGTTGATGTCTTCTTATTGTGTTGTGAATGTGACGTAGGTAAAGTAACTTGTAATGTAAAGGCCTCCGACTGGCGGGGCTATTGTAATGTAAAAGCCTACTTCCGGCTGTGTAAAGCTTGTAATGTAAAACCTCCGACCAACAGGGTTATTGTAATGTAAAAGCATGTATCTGGTTGTGTAAAACTTGTAATGTAACATTTGATTGTCGGCGTATGACAGCGTCGCTATGCTTGCATTCCCCTGATTATTTGAGCTTTGGTGACGTCACTACGATGTTAGCCTCTGATTGGCGGAATGTTTCTTGTTTTGCTTATATACATGCTCCGATTTAGCGGAGGTCGATCGATGTTTGCTATGTATAACCTCTGGTTGGCGGAGTTTGACGATGTTTGACGGTGGTCTCCGATTGGCAGAGTTGTTTATGAGGTTAGATTACAAGCTCCAGTTGGTGGAGTTATTTTGACAGAAAGCTAACTATCCTATTTTTCTACGAAGAACCTCTTTTCTTCAGTATTAGGTCTAGATCTTGAGTGTACCTGCGAAGATTTAAAAAAAATATTCTTAGACATAATATGTAGGTGGAAGTAATTTTAGGAAATAAAGTAGGGAAAGAGTATTTTGGCTCATGATTGTGAGAAGTCGAATAGCGCCTCCAGTCGTGCCCCGAGGCTTGATGTTATCTTTCTTGATTCATGTATTCCTGCACCCAAAGTATTTTTTTTTGTTTGGGAGGGGGTGTTGATTTGTATCGACTCGCGGATTGAAGCCTCGTAACTGGAATCCTTCGGTACCTTCTTTGTCCTGCACATAGTTGCTTAACCTAGAGACTTGGCAGGTGGAAGAGTATAAAAATCTTTTGAAAAGAATTAGCTTGTTTTTCTAGCAAATAAGTGTATTACGTATATATTATGTATATATATAGTAATTCTCCAGCATTTTTTAGATTATGACATGTTACGAAGTCCATCGAGATTTACATTTTGTTGACTATATCCAATATAGTCTTCTTGTAGATTTTACCCTCCTGATGAAGCTTTCCAATATCTTTTGCAGACACTGCAACGATCAAGATTCTTCATATTCCGAGGTTACGCTAACTATGAGGACGCGTTTCCTAAGGGTAACAAAAAAAGTGGAAATTATGCAGTGCATTGATCGAGCCTGACTCAGTCTGCCTACGTATCCCCAAAGTAGGAATCAGATTGCAACGTAGTTTGAATACAAGTGGGAGAAATAGAATTATGTAATGCAATGACCAAGTGGAATCATGTCGTAACGTAGTTCGATTACAATAGAAGAATGAAAAATATAGAGGAAAAGTAAGAAAAATATAACCCAATGACTGAACCTGACTCAGGCTGCCTACATATCCAAGTGGAATCAGGTCAGGACGTAGTTCAAATACAACAGGGGAGAGTGAAAATATGAAATGCAATAATCGGGCCTGACTCAGGCTGCCTATGTATCTAAGTAGAATCGGGTCGTAACGTAGTTTGATTACAATAGAAGACTGAAAACTATGAAGGAAAAGTAAGAAACATGTTATGCAATGACCGAGCCTGACTCAGGCTGCCTACGCATGCAAGCGGAATCAGGTCAGGACGTAGTTCAAATACAATAGGAAAGTGAAAAATATGCAAGGGACCGAATCTGACAAGGATTGCCTACGTATCCCACTGAGGGAATTCAGGTCGAGCGTAGTTCTAAATACATGGAAATGATGATTTTGGGTTTTCTAAGAGAGACCAAATCCGATGTGGGTTGCCTACGTACCCCACCGTGGGAAGTCAGGTCTAGACGTAGTTCTGTTACATTGAAAAATGCAAAAGTACAAGAAATAAGCACTAATCTTGAGGTCTTCAAATGTAGTATTTCTTGATGGCGTCTGAATTGATTGGCTTTGTGTTCACTCTGCCGTCCATTTCTGCTTAGATTACTGCTCCTCTAGAGAGTACTCTGTGAACCATGTAGGGCCCTTGCTAATTTGGTGCAAATTTCCCTTTAGCTTCTCCTTGGTGAGGAAAGATATTCTTCAATACTAACTGCCCAAGTGTGAACTGTCGGGGTTTGACTTTCTTGTTGAATGCTTTGGTCATTCTGTTTTGATAGAGTTGTCCATGACAAACCGCGTCCATCCTCTTTTCATCGATGAGCATCAATTGTTCATGCCTTCTACGTATCCATTCTGCATCGTCCAGACCAACCTCTTGGATAATCCTTAAAGATGGTATTTCCATCTCGGCAGGTATTACTGCCTCCGAACAATAAACCAACATATAAGGAGTTGCCCTAGTTGATGTTCTGATTGTGGTGCGATAACCGAGTAAATCATATGTTAGCTTCTCATGCCATTGCCTGTGATTATCCACTATTTTCCTTAAAATCTTCTTGATATTCTTATTTGCAACCTCAACTGCTCCATTCATCAGTGGCTGGTAAACTGTGGAATTTCGATGAACAATCTTGAACCTTTCACAAGTTCCCCTCATAAGATCGTTGTTGAGGTTGGCTGCATTATCTGTTATAATTGATTCTGGAATTCCAAACCGACGAACTATATTGTTGTGAACAAAGTCTGCAACTACCTTCTTAGTCACTACCTTGTATGTCGAAGCTTCGACCCATTTTTTGAAATAATTGATAGCCACCAGAATGAAACGATGTCCATTTGATGCGGGAGGCTCTATGGGTCCAATAACATCCATGCCCTAAAAAACAAATGGCCAAGTGTAACCCATCACATTGAGCTCATTCGGTGGAACTCATATAAAATCCCCATGTACTTGAAATTGATGACAGTTTTGCACATACCGGATGCTATCTCTCTTCGTGGTCATCCAAAAATATCCAGCTCTTAGAATTTTCTTTGCTAGAGTGAACCCATTCATGTGGCGTCCACATGTCCCTGCATGTATTTGTTCCAAAAGCCTTGTCACTTCTGCGGCGTGGACACACCTTAGCAATCCTAAATTCGAAGTTCTCCTATATAGGATTTCTCCGTTAAGGAAGAAATGATTGACCATCCTCCTCAAAGTCCATTTGTGCTTGCTTGTGGCATTTTCAGGATATTCTTGTGCTTCTATCAATCTTCTGATGCCATAGTACCAGGGTTTTCCATCCAGTTCCTCATCTACATGAAAACAGTATGCAAGTTGATCATGTATCTTTATATCGATAGGTCAATGTAATTTTTGTTTGGATGTCGAGGACAATGTGGCCAAAGCATCGGCAAACTCATTTTGAGCTCGAGGGACATGCTTGAACTCAATCCTTGTGAATTTCCTACTCAACTCTTTTACGTAATGCAAATGAGGCAGGATCTTGACATTCTTAGTGGTCCATTCTCCTTGCACCTGGTGAACCAATAAGTCAGAATCTCCTATCACCAAGAGTTCTTTGATGTTCATGTCGATGGCCATCCTGAGTCCGAGAATACAAGCTTCATATTTCGCCATGTTATTGGTATAGTAGAGCCTAATCTTGGCCGAGATTGAGTAATATTGACCTGTTTCCGAATTAAGACTGCTCTTATTCCAACTCCAATATAGTTTGATCCTCCATCAAAGAACATCCCACATTTATCATACAACTCTAATATGTCTTCTCCTACAAACAAAACATCTTCATCAGAGAAGTAAGTCATAAGTGGCTTGTAATCCTGGTCCACCGGGTTTTCTCCGAGGTGATCAGCCGGGGCTTCTTCTTTGATGTCCTTCTGTGTCACGTACACGATATCAAACTCACTCAACAAAATTTGCCACTTTGCTAGCTTACCTATAGACATTGGTTTCTGAAAGATGTACTTGAGTGGATCCATTCTTGAGATCAAGTACGTGGTGTATGCAGACAGGTAATGCCTAAATTTTTGCGCAATTCAAGTCAAAGCGCAACATATTCATTCCGACAAGGTTTATCTTTCCTCGTAAGGTGTGAGCTTCTTGCTCAAATAGTAAATAACTTGCTCTCTTCTACGTGTCTCATCATGCTACCCTAATACACATCCAAATGCATTATCCATGACAGATAGATATAATAACAAAGGCTTTCCAGGCTCTGGTGGGACCAACAATGATGGGTTGGATAGGTATTCTTTGATTCTATCGAAAGCCTTTTGGCATTCCTCTGTCCATTTCGTGGCAACATCCTTCTTCAGTAATTTGAATATGGGTTCACAGATCACTGTAGATTGAGCTATGAATTGACTGATGTAATTCAGTCTTCCCAAGAAACTCATCACGTCTTTCCTGGTCTTGGGTGGAGATAACTCTTGGATTGCTTTTATCTTTGATGGATCCAATTCTATGCCTTTCCTGCTAACGATGAATCCCAATAGTTTTCGTGCGGGTACTCCAAATGCACACTTTGCTGGATTCAACTTCAGATTATACTTACGCAACCTCTCAAAGAACTTTCGTAAGTCATCCAGGTGGTCTGAACTTCTTTTGGATTTGATAACGACATCATCCACGTACAATTCAATTTCCTTGTGAATCATATCATGAAAAAGGGTAGTCATGGCCCTCATGTAGGTTGCACCATCATATTTGAGACCAAATGACATTACTCTATAGCAATACACTTCTTATGGAGTGATAAATGTTGTATTTTCTGCATCATCTTCATCCATTAGGATTTGGTATATCCTGCAAAGCAATCGACAAATGATTGCAACTCATGTTTGGCACAATGATCAATGAGTATATGAATATTTGGAAGAGGGGAAGTCATACTTAGGACTGACTCTATTGAGATCTCGATAGTCCACACATATTCTGATATTTCCAATCTTTTTTGGCACATGCACAATGTTGGCTAACCATGTGGGGTAGTTTGTAACCCTCACAACATTCACCTCGATTTGCTTAGTTACCTCCTCCTTGATCCTTAAACTCAAATTCGGCTTGAACTTTCTTGTCTTTTGCTTAACGGGTAGACAAGTGGGATCAGTTGGTAATTTGTATGAGACAATATTAGTGCTTAATCCTGGCATGTGATCATAAGACCAAGCAAATACGTCAACGTACTGCTTAAGCAACTCTATTAACTCTTGTTTTCTTTCAACCTCCAAATGTATGCTGACTCATTTTTCGTTCACGATTTCCTCCTCTCCTAAGTTGACGACCTCTGTTTCATCTATATTGGTTTTTTTTTCTGACTTTCAACTTGTTCGATCTCATGTGGTAGATTTTCAGGCATCATGCTTTTATTGTACTCTTTGTGATCTTCTTTATCACTTTCACCTTGCTCGGTAGATTCGTTACATGTCATAACCGTTGAACAAGAGAAATTTTTTAAAGAAAAATAAAGACTTTTATTTCAAAGCATTCTAGCTTTTAGAAGAGGCAAGCAACAAAAGATTAGGTATGATTCAAGCCTCAATTTGATCATGCAAATTTTAAAATAAAACTTTCGTTTCCACACTACCAGGACTCTGGTTGAAATAGGGACGGGCTGATTGTCCAGTTTTGTAAGATTTCTCCATGTTCGCATCACAAATGGTCAATTTACTGAGATTTATCTCTTCCTCTTCTCCAGCCATGGCCACGAATAGATTGCCTATTGCTTCTACAATGTGATCATTACCAGGTTGATCTGGAATCAAAGCTTTTTCTGGTACGAAAATTGTATTGCTTTGTTCCTGGTGGACTCTTCCTGAGGTAGGCTCATATCTGAGTCCGTTGGTGCCTCTCTGATGCTTCAACTGGATTGGCTCAACTATGCCATTGGACTTTGGTCCAAGTCAATTCTTTGGCTGATATCCATACTTCAATATCTCTGACGCAACCATTTTTGCTGCACTTGACAATTTTGTATTTTCTGGCTCTGTTTCCACACTAACCCTTACAGCTTGCATCATTTCCAAAGTGTGAAAAGTGGCTCCGTCTAGCTCATCAGTGACTGGGATAGCATTAACAGAAAGGATGGGGTGACTGAGCTCCCCGTGGATGTGTCATGACCCAGGGGTACCCCCTAGATGTAACATGGCGTACTTAACCCCGAAGGGGTCGCATACAAGCCCTTACCATCATCATAACATAAGATCATAGAAAAGTAGGGAAAAATTTAAAACTTTCTTTAAACATACAATCGAAAGCATTTCATAAAAGCGGAAGTCTTTACTAAAATCTTTGTCTCAAACCATCTATGAATAACATGAATAAAAGTCTTGGGACGCAGCCCATATAAAGTCTAAAACATAAGAAAATACATAAAAGGAACATAAAGGGGTTTGTCCTCGAAGCTATGAGGACTCACTAAATCTTCAAGTCTTCTTGCACTTAGGAACCTAGCCTCCAAGCAACTCAATCTCCCAACACCCTACATTTGATTAGAATGTAGGCAATATGCGTTAGTACAAAATGTACCAAGTATGAAAGCTAACATAACATCATGAAGCATCTCAAATGGTTAGTCAACACAAGACATAAGCATAAGAGACAATAACATATTCATAACATAAACTCCAACATAAGCATCATACCATCACAAGTCAACATAAGACATCCATAAGTTCATACTCCAACCATTAGCCTTTCATATTCAAGAGAACTACTTCACAAGCCACCTCCAAGCATACTTGTGCAAGGCAAAGATAGCATCCCATAATACTATCCAAGCTAAATACCTCTCTTTGGTCATTCTTGGTCATAGTCCACCTTCATAGTCAAGACCTAGGTTTTCAGATCATAAGAGCACTTATACTCCTAAGTAACCTCAAGGCACACTTGTGCAATGCATGTGGGGAATCCCATAATACCTCACACACTAAGCATACCCTTGAAGTCACCATATTCATATTTACCATTACTAAGTGTCACTATTGACCTAATTTCATATTGACAAGGAACTATCATCTTAAGTCGATCATATCATGGAAGGCAACTATAGCAACAATCCAAGCTAGGCATACATCACGTAAGATGACACTTCATAAGTAGCTTCAAGTCATACTTGTACCATGTATGAATGGCATCCCATATTACCACTCGCACTAAGTACTCCTTTAGGCTAGCTTACTCAATGCTTACTATTTATCATTCTATACCATTAAGAATAACACATAGCAGGCTAGACCTAACTACCATGGAAAACACCTTACCATGCAATCCAAGCTATCCTAGGAAGGATACAAGTATACCAATCTAGACACCATGCAAACATTCAATATGATGCAAGCTACCCTAAGGGGAGTATGAATCCTCAACCCTAAGCTATCCTTAGGAGAGTGTGGTGTCTCAATCCTAAGCTACCATAAATGGTCTTGGCCTAACCAGATCAAGTTACTATGAAGTGCATTCTAACAATGCTAGTTCAAGCTACCTATATGAGAGTATAGATCCTCAATCCTAGGCTACCATCCCTATACTAATGCAAGCTACCATGAAAAGCATCCTACCAATGCTAGTTCAAGCTAACCTTAGGAGAGCTTAATTCCTCCATCCCAAGCTACCATGAGATCTACCATCCCAAGCTACATAATTCAACTATCCATGAAGGAATCATAATACTCAACCTCAAGCTATTCTATTCTAACAAGCATGATTCATTTTAGGTAATTAACCCTTCAAATTCTACATACATGCATACATATAGTTCTAAGTAGGTCATGTGGGTAAGCGCCTTCCACCATAACTCTATCTATATTGTGAATCAAATCAATGCAAACTAGTTTATGCTATTAAACTTACTCATTAAGCCCTAGTGACCAACATTATGATTTCAAGCCCTACATTCCAGCTTTACTCCACAATCATCATACTAGTCTAAATCACCACACATACTAGTCACAAGCCTTAGTCATAAGTAATTCTAAGCATAATTCATCGAAAGTCCCAATTCTTAATCATTTCATTTCATGTTCTAACATACATGCATAAGTCTAGTTCAATTCATGATTTCATATTCACATTCTTGGATAAGCTCTATACATGATAACAACCCAAGAGAATCTAGCAAGAATCATCAATTTTTCATCCAAAAGCATAAACCCACATACTTTGAAAATTAGGGTTAACCAAGGAATTCATATAAAATCTTCATAATATCATGAATCAACACTAAATTAACCATATATGAGTAGTATCCAACCATTTGGAATCATACCCACCTAAAACCCATACATTGGAAGTAACCTTAACTTGATTGGGGTTCTTCTTCACAAATTAGGAGAAATTCTAGGGGACTCTATGGGTGGAAGAACCCATAGATGAAGAGTTAAACATACCTTAATCAAAGCCTTAGCACAAGCCTTTAGCAATGGAGCCTTTGTTCTTGACCTTAGCTTCAACCCTAGCTTTTTCTTCTTCTTCTTCTTCAATGGAGGTTCTTCTTAGAGAGAAAAATATTTGAGAGAGGAGTGATTTGGGGTTTTGAATTGTGTCTAATGTAAAGTGACTTAAACTTGGGCGCTAATGACTTAAAATATTCTAAATAGGTGAATAAAAGACATACAAAACGACCCCCACTTAAACCTAGTCGAATAGGAATTTACCCAAAAGTCCATCAACTTGGCTGTCCCGTCCAGACACCACGGCCACTATGACGGCTCATCAAGGGTACCACGGCCCATGGTGGTGCCCGTGGTTCCTTGACCAGTGGCTCCCACAACCTGCCAAGACCCTATAACACTAAGGCACCTTCACGAGCACTTTGATGGGCCGTGGTCAAGCCAATGACTCGTGAAGTGGTTCGTGAACTTGGGGCAGTAGCTTGGCCTCATGGCCTTGCCTCCCACCATCCTAAGTCATCTTAACGGACCACTTCATGGTATGTGTTCAAGTCCACTGGCCGTGAAAGTGGTCGTGGTCTTTGAGGCAG